AGGAAATTTCCCATAGATCGATCAAAATGTCCACTATGTTGTCGGACCTATAGATTGAGCTTGGAAGACGTATAGCTCGCAAAAAACCGAAGAAACATAACTCACACATTGTCTCCTCGAATTATATACAAACCCAGCGGTATTTGTTCGACACCTTGCGTTTCGGAATACACACGTTCATGTGAGTCCTCGAGAACCACATTCACAAGCTGGTCAAATCCCTGTAATGTCTGCCTTTGGGAAAGATTTCTAATTACAGATAGGATTTCTTCATCTGCAGTAAACACAAGATTCCGAATGTTAAGCGATACTATTTGAAAAGCTTAGTTGTGACAGGGAATAATAAGTTCATGGACTCTGGTACGATTATAACACCGTGTGTATCAGATAAGTAAAACTTGAAATTGCTCTCGGTATTAGAAAGTACAAGTGAAAATTGCAAACCTTCATCATTCCTACTATATTCCGTCCATCTCCAGTCACAACTGATATGACTCGATTCATGAATGCGTCCAATGACGTCGTCATCTCTCAAATGACTGATCTTCAAGAACCTGAAGGTCCATGAATCTATACGCCAAAGACACCAACGAATTTCCGACACCACAGTCTCACAGAACTCAAAACATCATTAAGCTCTGGCACGGGGACCTTCCACACCAGCCACAGTACATTTCAAAGCATTATGCTCCTACAACTTGTACATCTCAACATATTATGCCCCTAACAGTCCTCTACTCCATGATGGCTATTGGTCAGCTCACTGTATAGACCAATAGCGAAGTGGATCAAGTGGATCAAGTATGCCGCGCGCTTTATAGTTGGCTCCAGGGCTCGGCACGAGATGGCATCAAAGAAATTTCAATAAGAAGTCCCCTTTGATCTTGGATTTCTACAAGGCTCGCTTTGACCGTATACCCTGACCGTAAAAAAAACCAACACTAAACGAAAGTCGACTAGAAAAAAACGTTGCAATTTCTGTATTTTTTGGGCCACAAAAACGATGCCCCCTTGTATTTCATCCCAAAAGCGATATCCAGTTTGACCCAGTGCCGCCTGGCCCGAGCCTTGTTCGACTCTCTGACGTTTCAAAGGCCAAGAAAACCCAAAACTGCAAATCCTAAACTGTACGACGACCAACGACCGCTTAGGAGCGCTTCTATTTTGTCTACTTCCGTATCAGTTTTTTCCGAGTACCGAAGAAATGACTTGAGTGGATCCGCAGCTAATTACCATAGGATGACACGGATCTTGCATGTGCATACGATAGCTAAAGGCAGGTGCCAGACTTATCCAATCACACCAGTCCATCTCATTTGTTATTGGTCAATTCAGTAAACTGAACAATAGCGAATGAGTGGACCGAACGAACCGACTAAAGCGAGTAAGTCTGGCACCTACCATAAGTTACTACGTTGGCTTGTGCCAATGACTATGGCACTCCCCCCCCCCTTCCTGCCTTGCACACAATCCCCCTTCCGCCGGATGATGTGCGAGCGTAAAGGTCAATAATTATCACACAGCGCAAGCCAAACTTTTCGCGGATAAACTTCCGCATACTACGACAAGAGGCGCGATTGTCTACACTATAATAAATGCTTTTTTCTGGCCTTTACTTCAAGCTGTTTTGTATCCCGTTGATTTTGCAAATCTACAGAACATTACACTAGTCGCATAAATTGTACAATCTCAACCTCAGAACTATTCCAGACGCTAGAGGGTAAGCGAATGCACCTACCACAATTCTGCTGAATACTTCTGTAATTTTCCAGCAATGAAGATCAGATACTTGCTGACAGACACAGAATTCGCGTTACTTTACCCGCTCCACAGAATATGCTACTGGAACTTCGCCTTCTAATGAAAATCATATATTCCGCGTTCACCGAAATGGAGTCATCATTAAAGGTCTCGGCAAAACTTTGTTTTCTAGCGTTTCACCTTTTCGATCTTTCTCGCCATGAGGAACCCATATCTGGGCTATTCAGCGCATGAACATGGGGAAAATGAGCTTTTTCCGAAACCTTCCAGGTCCACACATCACTGGAGAATACGTGTAGGTGGGCGGGGCCTAGGATGGGGGAGGCGGGGCGCGACATACCACGGCCTATCTTCACCGAGGGCGAACTTGAGCCTCGGAATAGCTCATTTTCGCTATATTCATGCGCTGAAAACCCAGATATGGATTCCTCATGGCGAGTAAGGTCCGAGGTGAGAAATTGGAGAATGAAATTCTGCCGAGACACTGCCTTCAATCTTGTAGATCGCTCAGTGATGGTCTCAATGTAGCAGACCAAAAGACAGTGTATCTTCCTGGTGTATGGCTTCATATCAGTCATGGTCACAAACCCCGTACTCGCTGCATTTATACTACCCGCATGTTCTTAGGTCACCAAAAGTGAATTTTTGATCCTCCGAAAACGTTGAAAAGAAACTACTTCTAACCGTTTCGTAGTTGTTTGTATGCTTGTTTGAAACTGTGGTGTCTAGCTTCGAAAGTACGTCAAAAATTATGTAACCCACGCATTATCTCAGTATTGGTGGACAAATCCTGAAAAGCTAATAACACTGGACTGTAGCCCTCCGAAGGTTTATTGTACTACTTATCAACCGTGGCAGTACATAACCAGATTGAAAGAAGTCTACGCAAAGGAGCAAGGTCAGCCACATAAAATGGGGCTGCACAAGCATTTTGCATGGACTTGAAGTCAAGCGGGTTATGGAGAGCAACACGTGAGACAAGCTCAATCAACAAGCGGCAAACGACAACAACATTGAGATTATGTGCCTGACCACCAGGTATAACGGATAACAGCAGTTCATAACAATGCCACGATCGCGCTTACGATCCGAACACACTCGCGACTAGGAAGTGTGGGTCGGATCGTGCACGGTGTGGTCATGGGGCAGTCATTACAAACAGAATAAAGAGAACAATCGCCGGCGACGGCGCGCTGAGTCGCAACAACAAAATCAGAGGAGTTCGTAGAGCGAGACAAAACACAGAAAAGAGAAAAAGGTAGCGGCGGCAGTACTTAGCGTCCTCCAATGGGGAGCAGAGAGAG